ATAATGTAGACAGTCTTGTGCATCCTGAAATAATTCAACTGATTGTAGAATAACACAATATGTGAAATTTGGTCCAATTCGCTTGTGCCATTTTGTATATTACTACTTAGAAAAACATAAAAATGAAACATAATTCAATTAATAATCAATTAAAGTGCTTATGGCACAGAATAATATAGGATTGTGGGGTTAATGTGTTTTATAAAGCCTGTTTTTGCAAAGGAAACTCACAATGACACATTTAGATGCAGAAATAGACAATGTAACTCGCTTCATATATAATGTTCTAACTCCTGTTTAGAAGCTGCTATTTGAAAGATTCTTTTTTCTGGTACATTTTGGCATCTAGTGGCATCAAACAAAGTAAATTGCAGAGAGTTGTGTTTACAATGAAACCATTTTTTTTTCATTTCCTCCATTGTATGTGTGCAGGGGAAACATTTGAATTTGAGTATGTTAAATTTAGGCGAAAATACCAAAAAACGCCCTGAGCTTAAGTGGTTTAAGCTATTTGTTGTCTTAATAGTATGTTTTTGACTTTATGTTCCTTTAGTCAGTATTTTGTGCATTTATGTACAATAATCCCTAGATGCCTTGTCCTGGAATGGGGTAAGTATTACAACTTCGAGCCTCTCTTGTTGCGTAGCCCTTTTCTGCAAAGAGGTCCTCGCTGTCCATTTCTGCACAAGTGCCCTCCAAATAAGAGCAAGAATGTTGAGCTTTGGAGGTTATAATTAGGGGTGCGCCGATCCGATATTCAGGATCGGTATCGTTCCGATACTGGCATTTTCTGCTGGGTCGGGGTATCGGTCAGACGAGACCTGTCCAAATCCGATATAGTGCGTATACTATTCTGTGTTATTGTTAAGCCCCACGAAAGGCACAACAACATTATAAAGCACCATAAAGTTTCTGTGCACTATATTTCAAGTGTTCTGAGACCATTCCATAGTTTCATGTGAGGTACGAATATTTAAGTCGTTAAATTCAAGTTCACGTAAACCCTTCTCTCCGCTGCGGCTGTCAGTCATCCTCCATTCAGCATTCAAACTGTGTGTCGCGTTCAGTTACGACAGTCAAGACGACGAAACTCTCTCCAGGATGATACAATGTTCCTATTATTATACTTGATCTGTAGATAAACATCAGCGGTTTTGCATAAAAGGACTTTATCTTGCTGGAGTTTATAGCTAATTCTAAATCATGTTACTTTCTACCGGGTGTCTGTTAGAGTTCACTACACTGGAGTACAGAGCACTATGAATTGTTCTTCACGCGCACAGTAACTGAAATTTAAAACTGTTAAAAGAAAAGGCTCAATAAACTAACGCACAGATTTAATACACTACGCATCAGTATCTCTTCCCTTTGTGCTTTGAACTTTTCTATGCGGAGCGCTGCGCGCTGTGACTCTGTGTTGCTTCAAGAGCATCATTCTGCGCACGGGATGTGCATAAGCGATTCGTGCCGCTCTGAGCCTTTCATGTTAATACTTTTGCGCAATGAAAGATTGTTAATAGCCTTTCTTGTTCTGTCTTATCTATCATATGTTGCTGCCTCATTACTGTGCTATAAATGTAAAAGTAATGTATTTAATCTATTGCATATATTTATATATAATTATATTTACTTGTTTTTTATGAACATATATTACAATACATAGAGCAATGTGTAACATTTTACCAGATTACACCTATTTACTTGTATTTTTCCCCCCACTAAATAATGTTTTTGCTCTAAATGTTTAAATTTTATAAAATGATTGTGAACTCATCATTTTTGTAGAGTAACTTTTGCTGCTGATTTATCCACTAACCTAGTTTATAATAGTATTTTTCTCATATATTATGATTATATATTTTTTAATTGTTATTTTTCTTTATAATGAAGTTGTCTATATTTAGTAGATTGTGTGTAATACACAAAAGAGTGATGAGGAGGTCAATACATACTGAAGTATAGAAATAAAAATAAAAAACTGTGCTGGTATCGGATCAGTATCGGTATTGTCCAATACTCAGAACTTTTGGTATTGGATCGGGATTGGTTCTGAAAAAATTGTATCGTGCCACCCCTAGTTATAATTACTACATTTCCCCGGCAAAACTAGTTTTTGCGCCTCATGGCCATCAATGTCCTGGTCAGTCAGAAAGGACTTTCCTTGAACAATGCTTTTCCAGGGTCCATAACTAGCTAGTGTTCATTTAGCTAGTAAGGCAGCGTCGTCAAATATAAATTGTTCTTATCCTTCTGCAAGGGTAATGTACCACAAGGTTTATCTCTATCTGTCCTAGTTCCATTCATTCCTAGTATTTCTTTATCATAATTCATGCTATCTGGTTTTTCTGCCGGTTCACTCGTTGGGTTCCAACGGCTAGATGCAGTCCTGTTTGCAGAGTCTATCAAGCTTTCATGGGAGTCAAGCCCGAGAATAGTTTTATCTATTGCTGTTCCAATATTTATGATTTCTATACGTATTTATACTTTCCGTTAAAACCTAACTACTCATCACTTTACTAACCTGGGCTACTCCATCACAATGCAGTCGTTTAGAATCCATGACTGCAGTTGCAGAGAACAGTGGCTCTCACCTCAGCTTTACACAGGTATTTCTTTTTGACTGGTGCTATCACGAATGCAGTCTCATCTAGCTGATGCACACATGGTCACTCTCCCATTCGATTCTAGGTAAGATATGGCTCAATGCTCGGCAGGCATAATTAAGCTATAATCAAGGCATGTTTATCTTTGCATCTTTTGGTGGTGGTTTCATCTGTTTCCTAATACATATTGGCTTCGGTCTTACTTGGCCTATTGTGGCTTCCACATTACACGGACCATTGTGGCCCTCCACATTACTCTGCCTATGGCGGTCATCAGGTAAGTCAGACTATTACTGTAATGAAATTCGGCCTATCAGGCCCTTCACATAACATTGAGTATTTTTTGTTTTTTTAGTTTTCTACTTTTGTGTCATGGTAATCTGGCTCATTTTCTATTTTTAGGGGGAAAGGTTTCCTCAGTCGGTTTCTGGCAGTTAGATGGAGTTCTAACAAACGTGAGCAGGAGTCTAGCCTAAAGAATGTTTATGCATCTGTATTTATGCTCTTTCTTAGTTGCTGTTAGAGCCCTAATACTACCTCTATCATTTAACCTAATCTATTGGCCTTCTAACACAATGCAGTGGTTTAGAATCCCTGTAATACGCCATCAAGCTGCTATGAACATGATCGCTCAGCATTGGGTTTCGTTTATGATTAGACTCTAAAACTATTTCATGTAACTCTCAAGATACAGTATGATATTCTTAGCAAGCTACTGCTGATGGTTACTTTCTCACATGCTCCTCATGTCCAGCCTATCATGGCTTTTAACATACTATGACATTTAGTGGTTATTCACACAATATGGCATTCGGGACTTTCACATTACATAGCTTATAGAAGCATATACAGGCTATCAATGTAAATACCAGCCCGTCGGAGCCTCACACTCCGCGGCCCATCAGGGCCTTCACTTTACATGAACTATTAAGGCTTTTACATTACACAGCATTTTGTGACTTTTGTTCAATATGGCCTATTGTGACCATCAGGTAAGTTTGACTATTATTGTTTATGTAACTCTGCCTATCATTGCCCTTCACAAAACTGACCTATAATGAACTTATCCTTATGTGAACTACACTGTCTTTCTGTGTTAAATGGCATAATGTGGCCTGTTATAAGATTGCTCTTACAGTCATGTTTATTAAGGGGGTCATATGATGTTGCTAAAAAGAACATTATTTTGTGTATTTGGTGTAATGAAATGTGTTTATGCGGTTTAAAGTAAAAAAAAACATTATTTTCCACATACTGTACATGATTGTTTCTCCTCTATGCCCCGCCTTTCTGAAACGCGTCGATTTTTACAAAGCTCATCGGTCTGAAAAGCGAGGTGTGCTCTGATTGGCCAGCTATCCAGTGTGTTGTGATTGGCCGAATACCTCAAGCGTGTGACGGAAATGTTACGCCCCTCACCATACTGTGATGTCCTGTCAAGCCGGAGCGTATCATAAAACCATGTCTGCATTTGTGATCGGAGAAATTACAAACAACAAGCGCTACTCTACACTGCCCAAAAAACTCGCGTTTGAATCATCAGTGGCAAATTCTTTAAATATAAAAAACATACTTACAGTCTGTGAGTTAGAAGCGCCAGACAGTCCTTGCAAAGTTGGAACTGCCCCACTTTATAGACAGTGAGAATAAAAGTTATGCCTTCTTTCTTTGCGTGAACATTTGGGCGGCGTTATGCAAATTTTCCCACATCGTGACGTAGACATGTGGGGGCATGTTAGAACGAGCCGTTTTAGGTAGGCGTGGTTGACTCTTAACTTTTATAAAGAATATCTCTTTGGATTTGAGACTTTAGTCTTTGCAACTTTACAGATCTTCTTTATGCACCAAGAGCTTGCAACACTTCAAAGAGAAAGGAAACATTTGAAATCGCATCATATGACCCCTTTAATATTTTATATTTATGCCGCCTTTGATATAATTAATGCTATATGTTTAAGGTAAATTTTAGCAAACACTGGTGGTGGTGTCTCAGTTATATTTTCTCTCTGTGGCCTTGAAAGCTGTCCA